TATATGTATAAAAAATACTCACATATTATTCAAGGCATTAAAATTTTAAAATAACCTCAATTATCTTCCCATTAGCTTGATTAGAAAAATCAATAATAAAAACTCAACCCATTTTCAAATATGACATGGCACGAAACTCTTTAATTCGGGAGAGTGATGGCAAAACTCTCATTATTTATAACATTTGTTAATGATGCCAATTCCAAAAATAATAGGGTATTTTAAAATTACTTTTGGAATTTTTGCATTTCAATATTAATTTTACATTCTCGGATTTGAAGTAGACCAATACAACACTAATACTGAATCCGTACGTAGATAAACAATTTAAATTATTCAATAATCATTTAACTTAACAAAATACAGTGTTCTCATTATGGGACTCCCAAAGTCGAGACGCGTTGCAGTGTTTCTGTTCGGATATGAAATCTGTCCATATATGGGGACGCAGAATAAACTTATGTTTACAATTTACTCTTAAAATCACAAAAATTAAAATTTAATGTTACATATTTTACAAAATTTTAATAATAAATATCCGCGAAACGATTTGTTAAAATGATAAATAAGTCAACTCTTTTCAGTGGAGGGGATTTGAACACACGACAGCAACTTAAATAAAAATCACAACAAATAAAAATAAATACTTTTACTTTGAACTATATTTCAGAAGGAATTAATAATAATTATCATGTTAGTTATTCTTGTGTGAACCAGAGGCGCCAGAGCATTGTTCGACGAAATCGTGAATGGATTGCAATCAATTATTAAAAATTAAAATTATACTAAGTCATCTTTTATCGATTTTATAATTTATAATTAATTAAGGTACTTCAAATACCATCAAAAAATCTATATGGAGCAAAGTTAGACGAATCTTAGAAAATTATTTTATTAGTTATATGGGAGCGAGAATAAGTTTTCACCCATTTTTTTAATCTAAGCACAAATAAGAATGGTTATATATRACACGTATTCTTATTTACATTGAGATAACTCATATATTGGCCGATATGCGCGGTATAAAGTTACCCAAAAATTCGAAAATCTTTACATTAGGTACATATATGGTGCTAAGAGAGATGTGTATAAGAGACAGCATATATGGTGCTAAGAGCAGTATTGAACCGATTCAGCCTATATTTTTCAAAAAAGGATTATTTTCGAATTAAAATTACATACTACTCACATTGACCGATCTTTTCGTTAAAAGTCAACTATACACACTGAGATCCACATATCCGGTAGCCAGAGGCTTAAACARTTTTAGTTCGACTTGGAAAGTTTTGGTCATAAAATGGCATTATTCGTGCAGAGTTTTGTCGAGTTATATTAATATTTGTTCTAATTTTATACTGGAATCTGAAAGCATGAGAAGGAATTTCAAATTGTGTTATATGTGAATGCTATATGCCGAAATTGAGTGAAATCGGTCGGGCTGGTCCCAAGATATGTATGTGGTTTCCTCTAAAAGTGGGCGGGGCCATGCCCATCGTTAAATTTTTACACGTATTTCGTGCGGGGTAGTAGCCCAATTATGAAATGTGTCCGGTTATGGTGGGTGCGCGGTTATATTGCCAGTCCGTTTTGGGGAATTTCAAAATAAAAAAGCACTGTAACAAAGAAGCGTAACAACTCATAATGAGATAAATTGATTCACTTTTTAAATACAAATAGTTTTATATATTTATGGTATAGCAAAGAATAGCAAAAATGTGTACCGTTCCTTGAAATTTCGTTTCTCATTGATTTGTCAGTAACTTTTAGTTGGTTTATTTCTGGCAGCCCGCTTTTGTGATATCAGCTGTTCATAATTCACTGACCTCCATCGCAACCAATTAAGGAAAATGAGAAAGTTTCGTATTCGTCATTGTCTATTATCATCCCTTTAGAGTATAAACTTAAAGCAGCTGAATATTGATGAATTTAAACCGTTTTGGTTTGTGTTATTTCACTATATTAATTCTGCATGTGTTCTGGTACTCGGTTTTTTTGTCTAAATAAATAAATAATTAAAATTTTGAACATCGCCTCACTTTTATTCATATTCTTCTTACATTGTCTTCAATAAAATAAACGGTGTTTAAGAGAAGTTAAAAGCAGAACATCACAAATTTTTACTATGCAAATTCTGCATTATTCCATTGTTCACTACGTAATATTATTACAATATAAACTCAGTATTACATAATTATTTGAACATAAGCAAAAACCATTAAATCAGGTCTATGCTCTATGTTTTAAAAACACGTATTTGATAAAGTGCTATGTACATACGAGTACGTAATCACGGATCAAAGAGAGGTTTAGTACGAAATGATATTTTGTATAAATATTTTTTGACATTGTACACACCAGCATTTACATATATTACTAAATGTATATATACATATGTACATATACGCTTAGCTTTGTACAAATATTAACGCGAGCAATAGTTGCGCTTTGACAATCCTATGTATGTCAACTAAACATGCATGCACATAAATGATTACATGTCTGCTGTACATACATATGTATATATGTATGTGTATTTCTTATCAAGTTGAATTAATAAATGGATTATTATCTTTTGCATAGTGATGTCATTCGATTGCACACACGATTAATTTGAATTATTGTACTTAGGCTGTGTACCAAACGGTGGAAAATTTTCAGTTATTACCAGCCCATCAGCTAGGTAAAACTTTGACAGCCTATAAATTTAAATAAAGATATGCAATCACTATTAATTATAATATAATATTAATTTTTTATGTTTTATTCCCGACGTTGAGAATCAAAATATATTTGTTTTATTATGTAATCCAAAATGTTTGGGATTTAAAAAATTAAATTGTACAAACGCGAAAAATAGTATTTCCAAAAAAATTTTTTTTTTTAATCTTAATTAAATGCTTGTTAATAAAAGTTTTACCTTTTCTAATAAAATTTTTAAGTTGTAAATTAATTTTTTTTTTATTTTTTGAATCCGGTACGCGAGAGTATTAATGGTCGCTATGTCCGTGGTTTTTTGAAGGTGGTCAACCGAAACTCCGGCGCACATTATAATTGCGACGACCTTCGAGAATACAAAACGGAACACAACTCTTTCAATCGTGCCCGACAAAGACTTGAACCTATCCGCGGCGCGATTGATGAGTACGCSGAGTTCTTAGCCCTAAAAACTAAGGAAACTGAATGGATCACATCTTCGAGCAGAATATTTTTCAACAAAGACCCTAGAAAGGGCTCTTGTGACGACTGGGCGTTGTATGAGGCAGGACTGGTTATGTACATGTCCGAGTTAAAGAAAACCAAGAGACCCGCCTGAAAAGTCTTCTGCGTAAGTGTTAGGGGTTGTCGTGATTCCCCAAGATTGAATCACATTCTCGCGAAAACACCCAATTTAACTGGGTTATTTTAGGAGCGGAGATTTTATATTGTGGTATAAGGAGTTGTTAAAGTTGCTCCTGGATGGTGAGATTAGAATTTGTATCTAAGGCTTGGTTATGGATTTGTTGAAAACGTTGGAGAAGCTCATGGACTTGTACATTAGGAATAAAATAAAAAGATGTAACTTGTTAACGACCCTGCATACCTACGGCAAGGGTATGTTTTTCGATACTGTTTTGCTCGATGGATCATTTATGTCCAAGGAATGTATGATAGACACCTTTCTCGATATCATCCCGTAGGATGATGTATTTTATCCTCTGTTCCGATATGTAGTGTTTTGGCTATACGAAACTGTAGTGAAGCCGATCATTTCTTCTTTTCTCACATATCGACGGAGACATAGGACCCGGTGGGACTTTAAATTTCCAAGGGGAATAGTCACCGTCGCTGAGCTTTAAGCGACCGGGGGGCGGGCAGGTCGCGGATCGCCGGACGGCCTGTAGTAGCAGGTTAGTTGCGAAATAAGTTGAAACGAATAAGCAATCCCCGACGAGAAGCGGCGGGAGTGGAGGTTTCGGTATAAAAGCCAGCAAGACCGTTGAAACTCCTGCGACAGTGAGCGAATCGACACCGCCTTTTTTAAATATGTGTCTATCGCAACATGCAAGGGCATCCTACACGGATCCATAATGGGCGGCTTCCTGGCCAGCGTCTGTTCACCATGTTAGGTGCGGCTGATTAAATCTACCTGACTGGTACACGACGCAACATACTGGGAGTCCCTTGAACTCTTCGCCAGCGACGAAAGGAAGAGGGTGATGTGAGTTTGACTCTGCCGAGGTATCAGCTGCGGCGTGTGTCAGTAAACAGCCACTTCGGTCCTTAGTCAGGAAGTGTGCATTGGGCATAGGAGTATTAGCCTATGTTAACCCGGGTGAGCGCCGGTCAGTACGTGTTTTCCGGGACCGGTAAAGCGAAGGACTGGCCTCAGGGAACTGGGGTAGGGGCATTGTCCCCGAGGGTATACCCGTTCCACTCTATTTCGGCCCACCCGCCTACACACGATGCGCTGTATAAAAGAAGTAAATGGAAATTAATGCGAGAAACAATACAAACAACATATATAAGGAATGCGGAATGTTAATGAGTAGCCGTGCTGAAAACTCTAGATCAGAGGCAGATCTGACTGTGAGGACCCCAAATATGGAAGTAGGTCCGTTCAAACGTGTACCGAGGATAGCCCGATCGCCCAATCAGATGCCCATAATCAGTAAACCGGTGCGAACGAGGTCGTCATCACCGGTGTTAGAAGATAGTACACCTCAAGTCGAAGTAGCACAAGTAGTGGACTCCATCTCCGAACTAGGAAGTGCCATAAAAAGACTGACTGAAGCAATGCATCCGCCACAGCGGTCTATAAATAACAACATGAGAGACATCCTTAGTTCTATAGCAAAGCTATATTCAAAAGCCCTGGAGGAACACACAAGAATTATAGAAGCAAGACGGAAGGTACAGCTCAGAACCGCAAACACGGAAACAACAACACCAAAGAGGCCGCGCGAGGAAAACAAGCCCAAACGGAAAACACCTCCTAAAAGGAACAAAACGACGTCCGAAGAGGCACCGAAAAACCAGCAAGCGGAGCGAAGCAAAAAGACATCAGGAAATAGCCCTGATAAAGGCAGAAAGGAAGTAAAAAAAGATGACGGCTGGGTAAGCGTCAAGCGCAAGCCACAAAGCCACAAAAAGATTAACCGAAAGCCACCCCCACGGCCCGATGCTATAGTCATAGCGCGGTCTGGAGATATGTCCTATAGAGACATCCTTATGAAGGTGAGAAAAGAAGAAAATCTGCAGAAACTTGGGGAAAATGTATCGCGTATTCGGATGACAGCCAAAGGAGAAATATTGTTGGAACTCAAACAAACCCAAATGGAAAGTACGATCGAACTAAAGGGCGAAATAAGCAAACTGTTAGGGACGTGGCACAAATCAAAGCGCTTACCCACGAGGTCGAAGTAGAAATTCGGGACCTGGACGAAATCACAACCAAAGAGGACATTTCGGAAGCTATACGGAAGCAGGTGAAAAAACTAAGTAATTTTGATGTGAGTGTGATAAAAAACSTCAGGGCGGCATATGCGGGTACACAAGTAGCGGTAGTAAGCCTCCCTGCGCTGGAAGCAAGGATACTGCTAGATGAGGGAAAAATTAGGATTGGCTGGGTAGTCTGCAGGTTAAGAGAGAAACCTTATTTAAAAAGCTGTTTCAGGTGCCTGGTATATGGGTATCTGGCAGCAGCATGTAAAAATTCGGACGACAGGAGCAATTGCTGTCTGAGATGTGGCGGAAAAGGGCACTTCGCACAGACGTGCGACAAGGCTCCCTCTTGTGGTGCTTGCAAGAGCAGGGGAAGGGAAAACTCAAACCACCAAATAGGTAGTAAAAGATGCCCGCTATATCAGGAAGCATATAAAAAATTCAGCAAATGAAAGTTCAGCTAAAGACAACGTCACATGGGCTTCAGGCACCTCCAGCAAAGCCGCCATATTGGCATGTGGAGGCAAAGCTTTCCAAGAAAAGCCACTATTAGGAAAGCCCTACTTCACACGAGCCAGGATTTGTGAAATAGATTTTTATAGCTGCTATATACCACCGAGTGTCCCACAAAGCGCGTTTGAGAGGATATTGGATGATCTGGAACAGGAAATCCTAAAAACTACGAATAACGTGGTAGCAGGCCAGTTTTAACGCTTGGGCCGTGGACTGGGGAAGTGTTAGTACGAACAATCGAGGAAATGCTCTTCGCAAGGCCATTTCATCGCTCGAAGTAGTGCTATTGAATACTGGGAATAGGAACACTTTCCAAAAAAATCGCCGTGGATCCGTGATTGACATCACGTTTGTTAGTAGCCCGTTGATACGATCAACATGCTGGGAAGTGTCTGACCTCTATACGCATAGTAACCACTTAGCTATCATAATGAAGATCGGAAAATCTAGGAGTGGAAGATACACTCACACAAAGATGGTGCAGACAAAAGGATGGAAAGCAGAAACGCTCGACGAAAATATCTCTCGACTTATGCTAGATGACAACATCGCAAATGTAAAAAATACAGAACGACAGGCGCTGCAATGTGCAGGAAAAAAGAGGTCAAGAAAGCAATCAAAAGAAGCAAACTCTCTTGTTTCAATGAGCTCTGCGAAAATGCCGATGAGAATCCATGCGTACAAAATAGTGATGACAAAACTCAAAGGAAGCAAAGCGAGAACACCAACCTGTCCTACCCTATTGAAAAACATCCTGGAAATCCTTTTCCCTACGCAGAGGAACRAAGGACCTGTATTATCAAATATATCTACGGTAATAGATGCACCACCGGTCACCGATGACGATGAAGTGATAAATGCAGCCAAAAGGTTTGGAAATACCAAAATACCGGGTCTAGATGGAATCGCCAACAAGGCCCTAAAAACGGCAATAACACACAAAGCGAGCCCCTTTTCACAGCTTTTTACCCGCTGTATGCAAGAAGGTGTCTTTCCAAAAATATGGAAGAAACAGCGCTTAGTACTTTTGCAGAAACCAAACAAATCGGCTGGAGAACCAAGCTCGTACCGCCTTCTCTGCATGCTAGACACGCTCAGAAAAATTTTGGAGAGAATAATATGCGTACGTCTGGCGAAGCATCTAGAGCAAGAATATCCAGGACTCGCCGAAAACCAATTTGGTCAACCGTCGATGCTATCACAAAAGTGACAAATGTGGCAAGCAAGGCATCGAAGGAACGAGGTGGATGTATGGTACGAAAGAATACTGCGCAGTCGTAACGTTTGACCTTAAAAATGCATTCAATTCTGCGTATTGGCCATACATAATGAACGCTCTTGAATGCAAAAGAACACCGAAGTATCTGCTGAGAATTATTTCCAAATAYCTGTCGAATAGGCTGCTACTCTATGATACCGATGAGGGACCTAAACAGTACAGGGTGAGGGGAGGGGTACCACAAGGCTCAGTGCTGTGGAACGTGTTATATGACGGAGTGCTTCGACTACCATTTAAAACAGGGGTCCAAATTATCGGGTACGCCGA